CTCTCTCTCTCTCTCTCATATATATATATATATATATATATAATGTCTTTTTGAAATTACTTTCCCTGTCTCTCTCTCTCTCATATATATATATATATATATATATACTATAGTTATATTGTCTTAAAAAGCCAGTTAACTGCACCTTGAAATCACCACAAAACAGCAGAACTTGGCAAATAAATGTACCTTTTTATTGGATATTGAGGGCATTAGTACCAAGAAGGCACGGACCAGACTTCATAATAACAAATCATTTTTTTAACTACAGGGTGACAAAAAAAAAAAACTTTCATTGTTTCCTGAAGGGAGATCCTTTCACAGAAAGGATTATGGACGCAGACATACAGACTCTTACAAAGTGTAAGTATGACCATATATTGAAGTCAGAAAAGGAAGTTAGAACAAATTATGAAGACTTTAAGGACATGGGTTATGACTGTATGGCTATGTACCTTAACACAAACTGTTTTATTAATATAAGAAACATCATTGTCCATCAAAATATGACTTTTAGACATTGTCCATTAATGAGAAGAAGTAGTTATAAGTTTAAAACAGTGAAAGAAAAGAAAAAACTGTACGAAATATAGAAGTTGTTTTTAATTACATAGCAGTATCAAATTCATGTATTTGTTATGTATTACATAAATGTTGTTTTTAAAGCCTTGTTCAGTTGCTGTATTGCCAGTATGTGAAAAAACTGTGGGTTTGAATAATGATAGTTAGTTAAAGCTGAACTGGGATGACTAAGATTAAAATAACAGTGATCTAAAATGATGAATGTATGAGTTTGGAAACACTCTAACAACGTTTGAGCCACACAAAACAGACACAATTACACATCATACAGCTCAGCCTAGCTAAATAAAATGAGCTGGAGTTTGACTGACAGCCGACAGACATCTTGTAAAGCAACTCGGAGAGTCTCGGCTCAGCTGAAGGTGTTAAATATTGTAGTTTTGCAGACGACACGTATGTGAACAGTGTACATTTTTAGGAAAGGTTTGGGGACATGTGCTTATTCACTTTATCGAAGAGAAAATATGAAGCTACCACCAGCAGCAGGTTAGCCTAGCTTAGCGTAAAGACTGGAAACAGAGGGAAACAGCTAGCCTGGCTCTGTCCAAAGGTAACAAAATCCACCTACCAGCACCTCTGAAACTCTTGATCCGTACAAAAACCAGAAAGTGAAGACGACATGTTGTGTTTCTACGGGGGGTTAGGTGCTAAAACTATTTCTTGGCAGGAAACAGTAATTTCCTGGACAAGAAACAGTCCTGTACATACCGTAACCACATTGCGTTTCCACTTTGGTTTTTGTACGGATTAAACAAACCAGATATCAGGTGGTAATTGGTGACTTTAAGAGCTGCTGGAAGGTTTGCTTTATGCTAAGCTAAGCTAATCATCCTCTGGCTGTAGCTTCATATAGTTTACGGTCATGAGAGCTGTATCGAGCTTCTCATCTAACTCTAAGAAATAATGAGTAATACGTGTATTTCACCAACTTTTCAACTCTTTCTTTAATCATACACGTCCAATCTTTTTAAATTAGTGTTTTTCAGTAACTTAAATGATCATTTGAACCACTTAGAAAGTTCTGAGTACAACTTAATAATTCTGCGGTCATGATAAAGGTTGTTTTCTACCTTATTAATCAAGAGTACAAGAGTGTTTTCACCACAGAGAAGCTAAAAATATGACGGTGTATCTTTAAAAAAGCCTAATAGCACTGATTTAAATAAGACAGAGCTGTAACTGTGGCGCTTTGAATTTGAGCTGCATGATTACATGAGTAAAAACACCTCGGTTGTTGCAACAACCTGCAACAACCTCCCGTCCTCACTCACATATTTAAATTTGAGGTGTGATTGAGAAATAACAGCTTGTACATCCTGTCAGCTACCACAGTCTTACCGGGAGATAAAAATAATAAAACCAGTCTTTCTTGTTTAGGGCCACAAACATCATCACCCGTTCCTTAATACTGTCACACATAACATCTGTAATACTGAATGAAATCAACTGCACGCAGAGTAACTGTTCAACATACACAAGTCTGGCCAGTTCATACAAAAATACACGTGTAAAGAGATTTCAGGTAAAACAGGTAAAGACAGGATGCAAAATAAAATAAAAAAGTAACAAATTCCAGTTTAAAATGATGAGACGAAAAACTGAGCAGGAGAAAGGAAGATGTACATGTATGCATCAAAATGTATGGTTTGTTTTGGCCGGCAGCCAACCCGGGCTCCATTTTGAGTCTAGATTACAGGGAAGCTTTTGTGGCCACAAACTCAAACTCATGTCAGGACACGCAGGAACTTACTCGACCTCATTCCTCCCAGGACGTGAAACAGTTTGAAATCTTGTCTTTTTGACATTTAAGAAGCTGAAAGACTGGCTTGATCTGCTTACATTAATACAGGGGTTAAAAATAAAGTGGAAAAAACTTTGAATTCTGATGGCTTGGATCTTTAAAATGACTAAGGTGAGGTGTGTGATTGTCAAGGCGAGGGTTTGACACCTGCATAGTGTGATGAAGGCACATCGGGTGTGTGTTCACATGATTAAGAGTCCAGTCAGAGGGGAGTTGGCACACTGCACTTCCTGTTGAGGTAAAATGAAGCGGCGTAGAAGAAGACCGGGGCAAGAAAACAAGGCTGCTTTCTCTCAAAGCATTATGGGTTCATGTTCCCTCCCGCCGTGACTTTGAAATGTTTTTGCCACGGCTGCCCAGAGAGAATTAGTTGGACATTTCCCTTTTATTTATTTCCATTTCTTGTCTTTGGTTCATAGCTCAGAGTGATTTTGTCCTTTGTGTCCTCCAGAGAAAATCTTTGATATGCTCTTTGTGTCTGTGCATGAGTCTCTGTCTGCTGTAAGCCTACGTGCATGCACACACCGTCTTTTTAGGACTTTATAATGCAGGCAAACAAGACGTCTGGAGGAGACATATTTGAATAAAAATGTTTCTTAAAAGAAGATGACACGATCCCTTTTGTTTCCTTTCACACAGGGGAGCAGCTCGGGTTACGGGTTCTCTTGAACCCAGTGTTTGTTCTTAAAGTTTTCAGCCAGAATCCGTTATTTGTTCGTTATTATGTGTTATTCGTCTTAAGTGGTGAAGGGACAGCCAACTTGCTGCCAGTTTACTCATCGCTGCCAAGAATAGAAACCACCTCTCCAGCGCTCTCTCTCCTCTCGCCTCGTTCCCTGAGGGCTGAAACGTCTCCACATCTGACAAGGAGGAGCGAAAAAGGTCACCCCGAGGTCGCCTTGCGTCCGCCTCCGTCACACCACGAACTCGGGGACCTCTTCGCTGGTCAGGTCCAGGGAGAAGTATTTGTTGGTTCTCTTGATGGGAAACGGGTGCTGCTCGCTGAGCATGCCGGCGCGCTGATCGGCGAGGCCCTGATAGGCGCCGCCGTCGCTCAGCTCCTGGGCGCAGCCGAACGTGTAGCTGTGGGCGGTGTCCTGGCAGAGCTCCGCCCACTGCAAGCAGTCCTTCTGGTAGAGCCGGACGTCGTCGAGAGACTGGCTGTGCCGGTCGGTCGAAGACTGAGGCTTCCTGCACGCAGATGTCTGCAGGTGGAAATCAAATGTTGTGAAAAAAAGCTGCAGGCCATCAAAAAACACACTATAAACACTATTAATTATCACTTACTGATAACAATCATCACTTTGTAGTCATACTGTAATTAACTTTCCCTCCTCTATTGTGCTTCTGCTTTCAGCTGCGTTTGTTGTTCTGCATCAAGATGTTACAGTGTAGTTATTAAGTCTCTGTAGTTCCTCCTCTAAACTGTAGCTACATGTCTGACACAACGTAATACTGCAACTGAACAAAACTGTTTCCTATTCAATAATAAGACAAGGTGGACCTTCCCGTTGTTGCTCATATAAGTGAATCAGAGAATATTGTGTCAGTGGGGAAACTATAAATCCAACCTATGCTGTAAATATCTGGAGCCGGAGTATAAATCCAGCTCTACTTTGTGACCCCCTAAAGTCTCTTTTATGTCTGCAGAGGAGCAACAACAGAGTGATTTTCTTGAACTTTAAGTTGTGAGAAAGACATAAAGGATGTAAACCATGGCTGCAATACATTCTAAACTCCTTAGAAGCAGCTCCCCATATGACAAGCGAGAGTGAACCGGCGGTGGCGATATCTATGTAATTTACCTTTTAATCAGTTATGGATACGACCAAGAAAAATAAACAACCAAACCGCAAATTAGGATCCAAAACAACAATTTTTACCAAGGTTAATGCATTTAAGGATGCATTTCTCCAAACATTACTTGTGCAGACATACGTAATGCATCTGAATTACCTGTGGCAGAGACTCGATGCTCTGTCCTCTCATCTTGACGACGGTCTCAGAGGAGCTGGAAGTGGAGGAGCTGACGTCTTTCACTATCAGTCCTGTGGAGAACAGATGATAACGTTCAGCTCCAGTATAAAACAACTCTCCATCAGCCTCCCTCAGCTTATTGTGGACTGCTTGGTGGTAGCCATATGCAATACATTTACAAGATAAAGAAAGAATTCACCCCTGGGTCTATATGCTTCTTTATGTCTGTTACATGTTCTGTCTGTGCAGACTCTTGTTTAATAAGTACTTTTAATGTTGGAAAATTAAGACTTTTCTATAAGTCTAAACTATAAATTTAATAAAAGTAGAAGTCTAAACTATAAATTCAATAAAAGTAGAGCAGAATTAGTGAGACAGTGTATGTACCTGAGTATCCGTTGCTCTGATCAGGCGACATGGTCAACATGTCCTCGGTGATGTGGATACACAGCTCTTGGTCCAGAGCCATCTCATGAAGCTCCTCGTAGTCTTTGGGGTCGTCCACCAGCATCTCAATTTCTGAGGGAACAAATGTTGTAATGGAATTATTACGACTCGACAAAATCCTTAATCCAATCTGCAAATTTTTCGTGTTTTTAGTGAAGTGTAGTTTTTGGACTACAACATTAACTCTGCACTCTTACCGTCATCATCAAGTATGCGTTCCTTGCCGCTGCTCTCGATGCCGGAGGTGTGCGAGCTCCCGTGGCTGGTTGTGGAAGAGCTACAGGTTCGTAGGGGCCTGTGCGGGGCCTGACTCGGGGCCCTGAAGCTGTCCGTCTCGATGCCGGAGGTGTGCGAGCTGCCGTGGCTAGTGGTGGAGTGGCGGGACAGGCGTTTGTGATGAGACATGCTCCCTGCGCTGCTGCCACTGGCCCGGGAACGTTTGTCCAGGTGATCCATGTCCAGTTCCAGAGCGTCGCTGATATACGACTCCCTGTACTGCTTCTTTTCTGAAATCAATACAGACGTATTTTAATATTTATAACAGACTGGATATAGCCCAAATGTTTTTTGAACATTTATAGTTATAGTTTGTCGGACTATTTTATGGCTCTAAATAGCTACAAGGAAACCAGTAAAGACTCCAGGAAGTTACTGCTCCCTCCTCTGCACACAACAAGCACTGAAATCCTAAGGTTACAAGGTTTACTTTCATGTTGTTGTGTTTTGGCACACAATGCAAGATAAGAAAAGAAAGAACAATATGAATTGCTGGTGAATACCTTCGTTTTCCTCCAAGCGGCGGACTTGTTTGAGAACGGGCTGCAGGTTCATGTAGAGCCGGTGGCTGTTGCTGAGCAGCTGCAGGAGGTGGCGAGAGCGCACGGGACAACCTGTGTAGTAGATGAGTTTACGGGCCGAGGGCAGACCGTCGGGAAGGATTTCAAACTTCTTCCCCTGAGAGAGCGATAGGAGGACAAAAAAAGATAGCATATGAATTCTGATTACAGGACTGTGTGATTAATAGCAGTTAGTAATATAAGATTATGAAATAGGAATGTAGATTTCAAATTGTAATTAAGTGCCAGAAAGTCCCGCAGGCAAACCGTAGAGGAATAAAGTCTGCTCCTCAAAACTATGCTGCAGCCAAACACAATGCAACAATCAGTTTCTGTATCTGTTCTTCATTTCTTCATACAGACACTGAAACAAAGCATTTTTGAGCAGTTTTGATGATTTTCCAGGAAGAGGACATGTTGGCTGAACGCACGGAAAAACTAAAATGGTGGGTTTGTGCTCTCTCCCGCGCCTTTTGGCACTGGCTCGAACCAATAACAGCTGTCTTCAGTGTCAGCGGGGTTGTTCGCAATACAGACCTATAAACATTTCTGCACGGGTTTGGACTTTCAAAGGCGACGGGTGGGTTTAAAGCCCTGGAAAAAGCAAAGAGCTGCACATTTCTGACCACAAGACTGAGCGTTCGCTTTATTTATCCAGACATTTTTTTAAAAAAGAAACCAGCTTAAAGCCGGTCCATAGGTAGGGGAGCACATTATAGGTATTCGGCTTTGTACTTTAAGGAAATTAGTTTATAAAAACCAACTGACAGGTCACTGACAGTGGCTTTCCCATAAAAGATGATTTTCTCTGGGCAGAGGCTGAAAGGCTTCCTGTTCAAATCCCTGGAACTGGAGGAAAACTCAGTGGGAAAACGGAGAAGAAATTCTCTTCCATCCCTCAAGTTGAGTATTTGTCTTTAACCTCAAACTGCCCCTCTGCAGCTCCTAGTGGCCACTAGGAAACACTGGAATCGTACTGGGCAGCAACCAAGTGTGAATGAGCCAAACTGAGTGAGGCAAAGCAGGTTACTGCTGCATGAAATTCTCCCTGGTGATCTTTCTGCCTGGTTTTCAACTCTTTTAGGGTAAAGCTACAACATGTCTTAGCCAGGTATGCTGTAAATGTTGCTGTTATTTTCAGGATGAGTTGAACTGGCCTAACACGTGGGTGGCGCTATATATGTTTATACATGCATTCTGAAATTGTTTTAATTGGTTTCTGACATACAGATGCAAACATCTATATGAAGAGGGAGAGTGTCAGTGTATAAGAACGATGTTGATGAGCCGTAAACTATGTATAATTCATAGTGCAAAATGAAAAAGGAGAGTTTCATATATTTTGCCACTCCTGTTGTTTTTCTTAGAGTTTTGCACTACAGTTCCCATCATGCTTTGAGAGAGTCAGTCAGTGAACTCTGTATCCCCATCATTTCTGACTTGTAAATCATAACACCCAAAATCATAACTATTACTAGGAAACAGATTTTTTTCCTGAAAGCTCTGTTATAGTTTATCAAACAACAGAACTGAAAACCAAACAAACATGGACGCCTCATATCAGCCATCATTCAAGGTAATTAAACCCACATTTAGTATCAGTATCAGTATTTGTTACTCTCACACAACTCTGCAGTCACACAAGCATCTGGAGTAAGTCGTAAACATGGGAATCTTTTCCATCACTCACATCCATCTCACATAACCTGAATGTGGCACTTGAGTCTTTTTTATTAGCCTACAGTCACAATGTTTAGTTAACACTTTGCCAAATCTGCACCATGTAAGGTCACGAATCGATCCATCACCTGCTGAAGGTCCCTGTTTGCACCTAACTATGATTCTGTTTGACGCAGAATCAACTGCTCTGCTGGTGGTAACTCTGTTCCAGACAAAAAACACACAGCAGCAGACTGGTGTCAAGTGGCAGGTTATTAAAAGGTATTCAGATGCCACTTAGAAAAGTTTCTTGTTTCAGTACACATGGTCAGACCATCTAAACTCCCTCTGCACAGGACAGCTGGACAACCTTGTCCCTCTTCCAACAATTCCTCCCTAACAGGCCACACACATCGAAAAAACTCCCAGCATTTTATTTCCAACGATCCCTCAACACAACCAGCATCAGCCAAAGTACTGGCGAGGTTGAGTCTCAGACCCAACACCGCAGGACACTAGGGTGATTACTTCATTTCAGCTCTCAGGGGGAGTATATCAAACTCTCACTGGCTCAGGAGGAGCATAAATGCGTCAGAAACACATCCCCCTCCTTCCTTAAAATCTTGATAAAAAAGACAAGCTAGTCACCCCGGCCAATATCATGTCAATAGAAAATCCCCCCAAAACCATTGCAACATCTGGTGTTTATTGACCCACACGTCCCTCCACCCTGCTCCGCACTCTGGCTCGTTCGGCTGTAGCTGCAGCCGTGGTGGCAGCGGTGTTGGATGACGTGACTCGTGGGTGGGGTGGAGGAGAAAGCCTGTTATTCAGGAGAAGGGTGGGACGGAGCCACGAGAGGCCCTTCACGTCCACAGCGAAACCACAGCCACGCCACCGCCGGTTCACTCTCACGACGCTGCAGACAGCAGACGCGAGGAAACCACCGAAAAACACAAGAATGAGGAAAAACAGGATGTCTCTAGCGTGAACTGTGTGGCAGATGCGACGGGTGTTTGCACTAAAATTAGGCAAAAAAAGCAAAACTAACCGCTCTCTTGGATCAAAACCATCTGAGACAACAAAGCAAGTTTCTCAGGAGGCCTAACAGTCATGCAACCTGCTTATAAAGTCCCTTCACTTGGACAGAAATAAACAAGTAGCCAAAATTAGAGTGAAAATAGAGTTGTTTTTGTGAAACAGCAATGATAAGCAATAATGATCTCTGATTAATAGCCGACTGGCAGAAACCGTGAAGCCGTCACAGTGAAACAGATATATAGTAAGCTTCTCGGCCTTCCTGCGATAACAGAAACCCTATGGAGGCAAATTAACCGACTGCTGCGCTCAGCTTAACGACAGGCTGACTCAGAGCAAAGATGAGAAGATTTAACAGGATTTCCTTTAAAGGGCACAGGGACACCAGTGATAATTGATAAAAAAAAATGAATAAATCCAGAGGCATGTATATCGTATGAGAGAAAATACTGCTGTTGATTGCATGAAAATATGTATACAGTATACAGTGTCTGCCTGCGCATGTGTGTGTGTGTGTGCACATGCAAGGAAAGTCTTTCTAAATCCCTGATTAGTTCCAGAGGACTTGCAGGGCTAAGATAAAACAGCAGTGTGGAGAAAAGAAGCCTTGCGTAAAAATTTCCACGACCCTGAGCAGGAGCTAGGCTTTCACAAACATCGCCATAAGCCAGGAGATGCTTGGGTTTCGTCATCGCTGGAATGAGTCTTAGAAAAATAAAACAAAATACGGGACCGAGGAAAAATGTTTCTCTGGGCTATGTGTTGAAAAAAGGTGTGACTGACTCACCACAAATACCAGTTTTCCCACGTTGGTCCAGGGGAAGTCGTACAACAGTTGCCTCACGGACCCGACGTTCTGCAACACATGAAGACAGTAATTATAGATACAGTAATAGCTTGAGCTGATTAAAAATTCAACAAAGAAACAACAAACACACTGTTGCACTACACAAACAATAGAAGTAAATTCTGTCCATTATTCAGCTCTAACAGTGCAGCAATATGCCATGATCTTTGTTATGGCTACAACTAATTATTATTTTCACTATTGATTTTTTTGCTCAATTTTTCATTTAGGCTATATTATTTTAGAAAATAGTAAAAAAAAAATAACCATAGACTATGTTCAAGATGCTAAATGTACTGTAGGTATATGGAGATATAATAAATGATTTCATTTTAATGATATAAAACAGACAAAAACAGAGAAGCAAAGACAAAAATGACTTGGTTTGTAGTGCTCTTATTTTCAGAAATGAGGAATTCATAAAGCAAAAGCAAGAAAAACAGAAAGTCTAAACAGGAATGAACAACATAGAAAATCCACATTAGTCGCAACATTAATTGCTAAGTAAGAAACCTGGAATACCTGAAATATTTGGATACCACGTAACGTCAGTCCCAACGTAAGAGATGCCTCTACTTCCTTCTTGTCCTGTTGAAAGAGATGAGATCAAATACACATCAGGTGAAGATCAAATCAAATCTGATACAGCAGAATAACCTGAACTGTCAATACGTCAAATCCTCCCTTAACCAAATAAAAATCACAACATCATCTTGGACTGAAACAATAATGCCCTCTGTGCTGGAAAAGACTCCATTCATTAGTACAAGACACAGCTACTGTAAATAGTACCATCTCTCACCTTGTAGAGTCTGTAGTAGTGGACAGTGACGTCATCGAGCTGGGCACTCTCCTTAATGTATTTGAGGTGCGCCTCCGAAGCCGTGAGGGCAAACTGGTCTTTGTGCATGTTCGGGATATGCCTCAGGATGTATTCACGGCCGCGTTTGGCTATCACCTGAGTGGGGAATAGAAAGAGAGAAGCGTCAGGCTCGGCTGCCCTGAAGTTGTACAGGCTCATTACGACAGATCGGCAGCACAGGATGCCAATGAGGGTAATGAAGCTCCCTGCCGCAGGGCAAACAGATGTCAACCTGGAGAGGCTGAACGAGAGCCAGAGGCACGAACCCGGAAGCGCGCTCGCTACGCTTCGCATGTGGCTTCTGAGGATTTTTGTAAGTAAGCTTTCTAAGCGCCTAAATCTGTGGGAGATTTACTGCAGGGTAGCGCTCATCATCAAACAATTTCCTGTCACTGCTGGTTTCAAGTGGCGATAAGGAGGCAGGAGGCTAATTACAGGAAGTGAAGGGCAATCAGACGGGTGTGGCAGACGCAGCCAGAGAGGTAGAGGATGGTGGTGGTGGTGGTGGAGGGGAAGGTGCCAGTGTGCCCAGAATAGCCGTGTCAGCAGGAGCATTTCTCAAGAATAAAAAAGAACAACAGTGTGTGTGCCACTTCCAGGGACAAAAATAAACTTCGTGTCCCAGTTCTCATTATCTCACATGCTCAGATGTGGAGCTGTCGCTAAGTGTTTGGTCAGCGTGATTAATGGAAGGTGGCTACAGAGGCACAAACTGTGTACACGGCGCGGGTCAGGACAGCCTGAAAACACACCTTTACTGTACAGCTCCTCAGTCAGTGATACAGCAGTTTATTTTTGGGTCTTTTTCGGCCGAGACCTTGTTTAAGTCACTGATGTTTTATGAGGACATTCGCTGTGACTCACTGCAATGTCAGACAGACTTACCACAGAAGGATTTACCAGTCTAATACAGTAATGTGTGTTAACTGAATTACTCACATTTAACATTACTTTTAAGTTAGGGTGGATACTACAGTTGCATGTCATACCCCTCTCTCCTTTCCTGTCTGCCTCTCCATTATCCAATACCAAATTACAAAAATCATTAGCATTTTAATAAGAATGATCCTGAATACAGCTGAAATGATTAGTTGATCAATAGAAAATTAATCAGTTTTTATATATTATTTGTTTGAGACATTTTTAAGAGCAGAAATGCTGAAAATTAGTTTGTTGCTGCTTCGTCAGAGTGACGATGTACAGCTTTTCTCCATTATAGATCATTGTAAATTGAGTTGGTTGGACAAAACAAGACATTTAAAAACGTCATCTCGGACATTTTCGTTATTATCGGACATTTTTTAGATAGAATGTTAAAGCATAAAAAGTCTTACACAATAAACTCCAAAAGCAAGAATTGCACGTTAGCCACAGTATCCACGCAAAAGCCAAAACAATAATTCATGTCTCCCTATAGTAATTACATATAAGCACCAAGTATTCAAGTGATATTAAAACAAGATGTGATCCGATGCAGGTGCAGAAGGACAGGGAATATCCAGATGTGGTTTGGTGTGAAAAGGAATGTAAACGAAAGTTCAGGATGACGGTCAGTCGTCTTAAATCATCTGTTCTTCTCTGATAAATCTGACACACGAGGGCTCGGCCCACATGCGGTACTCGTTGGACATACTCACCCATGGGGGAAAGTAGGCTTCGGGTTCAAAGTACTTCCCAAAGTGCTTGTTGCGTTTGAAGTTGCCGAGGTCAGCCTGGAGGGCGAAGGCTGCCAGGAGGAAGTAGGCCTCCTCCCTTTGGATACACTGTGAGAGCAGCACCTGTTTCCTCAAGTGCCAGTAGTAGTAGTACCTGGCTGCCCGGTCACTGCAGGAAGGACAAACAGCAAAGTTAACTGGATTATAGGTTGACTGGTGGTACACTGAGGGATGCTAGTGCTTGTACAGGTATGAAATGTAAGTTGTGTACAGTCGGTTGAGGGGCTTTACTTGCCTGATCAATCTCCCGTTCTCTACGTAATACTGAGCTCTGAAGTGAATGATCATTGGAGGCCCGAACTGGTCGATGCCCTGGAAGAGAAACACATGAACACCCTTGTTTATATTCAGGAAGAGTCTAACATTTATATCAGAGAGCACATGTAATAGTTAGATGAAGAGTATAAAGGTTCAGAAGTGTCTCAAACTGGAAAGAACCAACAGATATAAAACATCTCAACTTTCCAGGTGTTACGTAACATCAGCAAACACAGCACACTAGTGTTTACCAACTGGGCTGATCTGGCATCAGTTTATATCCGACAGTATCTCATGTTGGTGGGTTTTTTTTTTTAGCTTTATCTGCTGTTACAATCTGTAATCAACATGTTAACAAAAGGGCTCACCACATTAATATAAATGACGGGACAGGAACTGGCTTTGGCTCTCATTGACTGTTCTTTTGTTACACAGAATAACACAACAGCTGCATCAATAACAACTAAATTAGGTCATTCGTGTGTTTCTGGTGCTGCTCAAGGTTTGTTTACATCAGTAACATGTATAAACACAATAAAAAAGGACAGTTTTATTTGGATAATCCCAAATCGAAGATCTATTAAATCCAGTTTAGTGACTTCATGTTCTCTGCTCACTCTTAAACTCTGGATTGAATCATTTCTCACCTTGCTGGCTTCTCTCTTCCATTCTTTGGGGCAGTATTTTGATAGCTTCTGATCCAGCTCCATATAGATGTGTTCATTATCTGTTGGAGGAGAGGAAACAGAGTTAGACTCAGACACACTCTCTGTGTCATCAGTGTTTGTGTGTGTGTGGGTGTACATGTGGATGTATAGGCGCCTCCATGTTTGTGTATGGACTATGAAATCCCCCCTGAATGCGCCGTGTTCAAAGCCTGCCTCAGAGCCCTCACATCACACAACCTCTGCACTTCCCTTTGTACTCAGAGCCTCTGGTGTTCCTCCTCATTTTCCACCTCACTCTGTCATGTCTTAATCTGCTCCTGAAGTGACGCCTTTCAGGAGTTGCGGGCCCGCTGATCTGAGTTTTCTATACAATGAAAGCCCCGTTGAAAAGCAAAGGAAGATGACGTGCAGGAGCAGAGCCTGTTTGGCGGAACATCAATGCCTTATTACCTCCGCCAAGGAGGTTATGTTTTTGGTGCCGTGTGTTTGTCAGCAGGATTACGGAAAACCTACTGGCCTGATCTTCACCTGAAACTTGGTGAACAGGTGTAGCATGGAAGGAGGCCGTTCTAGTTTTCTATCAATTTTGTGAACTGTAATGAAGACTAGATGACAGGTTTTATGAGCCATGCTTAAATTGCTTAAGTAGTAACACATTATTGTTAACGCCGTGTTAATTTAAAAAACTCCCACAAGCCCGAGTGGCATCTTCCCATAAAGATAGTTTTGGTTTTATTTGGGGACAATCTGAGATCTCCACCGCGGAGACTTCTGCCGCCATCCAGATACAATTGAGGTCAATCATATTTAGTCTGTGGTGGCTAAAGAATCCAAAAATTACATTTGACAAACTCAACAGCAACATCTGTCTCCAGAAACAATATCCTGCTGCTCCGCAGACCTCATTGTGAAAAGTTTTCATTGAGAACTATTTGTGGTTGTACATCGTAGATCTATGTTTTTTAAGATGTCAGGAAACTTTTTGTGGTCTGTGTTCTGTTAACAGAATAGTATGTCAATTTATGTAGACAGGAACATAATTCAGACAGAATGCGTGAAGAAAAACATTTTTTTACTCTGAATCATATAATTACTTAGTTGCTCTATGTATGAAGAACAAAGGACACGAGTATGTAAAAAGTGGAGAGATGTCTTGAGATGTTTGGGTCAAAACTAAAGCAGAGTGATGGGGGAACAAAACTGAAGCAATCAATCCCACGCTGCTTCAGGATAATTATCTAACAATCTGACGATTATTATCTTGAGTGATCGGTTGACTGCTCTAAATGCGTCCAAGACTCCAACTCCAACTTTCTTGCACTCATCACTAGTGTATATATTGTTTTTTAATCTGAGGTAAGTCCTCAAAACAGCGAGCAGACACATTTGAACCCGTGTCTGATGTGGCAGCCCTGCTGTGGACGCTCTGGTCAGGGGAACAGCGGGTGACGCACAGGGAGTGGGTGGCCTCTGTTTGCCCTGGGGATTTCACGCTGTTCAGACAAGCACTTCAGGAATGTCCCACAATCAGACCCATTCGCTCCTGCTCAACTGACCTGCTGGGCCGTCATTGGCTCATCTGGAGGCCAGCTGTCTGAAAAACACCGCCTTTGCAATTTACTCTCCCTTTGCAGTTGCCTACGACTGTCATCCGCTGTCTGCCCCCGCGCCACAGCACAGATGCAGTGACTCATTCCAGACGTACGCCCCTCACCACACCATCACCATAAAAAACAACTTCAGCTAAACAATGGGAGCCAGTCAGGACGAGGAGGCCCTAGTTCCTGGCATACTGCCATGACATGGAGGTGAGAGATGCTCCGTTTAGGGCAGATTCCTGTTTCTCAGCCATGTTATTGGTCGGAGGAAAGCAACTGCCTGGTTACACTGTTGTTGTTATTGGCTCTGGTACTCGTGACTGCGTCCACTCCACGGTTTGCATGATTGAACCATGTAATTCAAATACTTTTTAAATACAAATGAGGCCACAGAACTGAATCGTCCATTAGTGTGGAAATGGAAATGTGAACAACAGTCATAGAAAACAAAGGCTGTTCTGTTCGGCTGATGGGTAAACAAGTTAAAACATAGATAAACTGTGTACAGCACACCACAAAACAACACATGGAACTGCACAAACAGAGACAGGAAGCATTTGTTTGTCCCCTCCCAAGTAATCCCTGAAAGACTTACTCTGAATAACGCTGAGTCCAAACAGGTGACAGTCCTTCAACCTCAGGAGGTCACACACCTGGACCAACAGTTCCTGGCACAGGGTCTTCACCTGAGGAAGACGGAAGAGGAAGAGGCTCACTTCTAGATTTCATCTTTTAGCCATTATAGAAATAACATAAACATAAATAATCACACATAAACTACCTCGCTGCTAATGTCTGGTATGACTTTCATGTTTTTGTGAGCCACTATAAACAGTTAGCTCAGACACGTGCAGAGCAATGTGTGCATGCTTCACAACGCTGTGACTAATGCTGCATGCCTAAACATATTTCAGTTCAAGTAGGAACCTTGTTTTTGGCCCCCAACAATAGCAAAGTGTATAAAGAGCTGTTGAAAGAATGAAAATAAATTAAACTGTTGTTAATTTAAATGCAATACAAAGGCCCTTTTCGTTTTGTGAGTAGCAGCTGACAGCTGCCAAGAAATACCACGACTTCGTGAAATGAAAACCACTAAGTGTATGCTCTTAAAAGAATCAGTCAATTAATTATTACCATGTCTGTTTGATAAGTATGAAGCTATAGCTAGCAGTTGGTTGTCTTAGCTTAGCATAAAGACTAGAATCAAAGGGAAACAGCTAGCCTGGCTCTGTCCAAAGGTCAGAAAATCCACTGAGCACATCTAAAGCTCACCTAATTAACATTATATACTTATTATAATTAGTAGTTTATATATGTTTCATATTTGGTTAAAATGTGGCTTTCAAGGAGGGTTGTGGTGCTGCTACCTTCAGACAGAGCCAAAACTAGGTGCCTCCCCTTTTCTAGTCTTTATGCTAGGCTAAGCTAACAAGCTCTCAATCTTGGCAAAAGAGCAAATAAGAACATTTTCCAAAATTGTCAAATGATTCCTGTAGTGGTTCATTCTAAGAAAACAACAAAGTGTTTGTTTTTCTTCATATCTGGACAAAAAGTTTAACTATAATTTAGAATATTTTATATCTAAAAAAGGTGCATCCTCAATGTTAAGTTATACAGTTCTTTAGGTTGAGAGCAGCATTGCTATAGATTAAAATACATTTGTACTCACATTGACTATGACATTGAGCGTGTCATCATTGGGCAAAAAGACACAAACGCAGCGGCGGTCCTGCATGGTTTTGTTGTTGTGGAAGTTCAGTTTGTTCATCTTCGTGTGGCTGGGACAGGACAGGCCCCTCCGCCTGCTACCGTGGGCTCTGGGCCCTCTGACGACCCGCCTCCACCACCGCAGTCACCGTATCCCTGCTTTCAGCTGCAGCCCAGTATGGACGCACCGGCACCTTCGGGCTCAGCAGGCCAAGCAGAACTCACAGGGCAGAGCATGGGGACCCGAGCTGCAGTCAGCCACTGCGGAGACAACATCAGAGAACATGGAGGATGTGATGTTAGTGCACTTCATCATTTAGCTCTATGTGTTCTGCAGGATGAGAAATGGCCTCGTGGTTGACATGAAAATGATGAAACCGTTTCAAGATATAAATTGGAGTTTAAAAATAGCAAATCTGCCGAGGAATATGTTCCCCTTAAAAGAGGCAGACAGTGTAGGAGAAATAAAAGACAGCCACAAAAAGAAGGAGGGCAGCACTCCCTGTTTGTGTCCATGAGTATGTGACATCATTTCTGGGGAATGTCAGCGACTCCTGAGGAACATGTGAACATCTGGAGAGGAACTGATGATATGTAAGGATGGCATGAAGGGAAGGAAACAGACAGACCGAGTGACTCATACCAAAAAAAACAACTGATCCATCACTTCTATCACTTTCTTTTTTAAAAACAACACCAGTTCTGAACTTTAACAAACCAGAAATACAAGAGTGAAGAAAAAAGGAAAAGCATTACCGCGCTTGACTTGAACAGCTGTTAAGGAACTTACGCGTGGGGGGGATTTAGACGTTGACTGGGTGTCTGACTTTGTTGGCTCTGTAAGCCAAACAGCTCCACATTTTCCTCCTGGCATCAGTTTTGTCAACTCATTCAGTTCTGTTGACATGCTTTTGGCTGTTTGGATTTTTCACTGTCTGCTGAAATCCACATGCAAGAGGCAGACTGCAGCTGAAATATAGTATTCAAAAGACCTCGAAAACAAATGTAATTCTGTCTTTTGCGGTTGTATCATTTTGAAAGAAATGCTTCCCTTTTTTTAGGAAATAGAGCATCTTAGTATCAAAGGGCAGCGGTGAAGTGTTACAGGAATGTGAAAGAATATCTGCAAAATGTTGAAATGTTTTGACAATGTGTTTGGGAATTTTGACTTTTATCCTGCACCTGAGCCCAAGTCAGATTAAATACTCACACTTCTGCCTCTCTTCTATGACAGGAAAGTGTTCCCTTTATCTACCAACTATATACCTCTCTCTCACACACACTAGAGAGGGTATACACACACCTCCAACATTAACAGTTTGAGCAGCAAGTACCTCACAGCATGAGCCGTGCCCGAGGACGTGTGAGACCTTCAGAGGGTGTGAAAACTCTCAGACCAGACAAAAGAATGTTAAAGGACAATCAATCCACATTATCACTTCTTCCTGTTGAGAGTCACTCAACTTGAAGCCATGTTGTCATTAAAAACAGATAGGACAGATACAGGGCCGGATCACATTACAGAGTGAAAAACAATTAGCATTTAAAAAAGATGCTTTGTGAGAAGTGAAGGTTTATTTAAAACAGGGAAAAAGTTGAATCTAGATATTCAAGATATTAAAAAAAAGCTGTATTTAAGTCTCATACAAGCTAAAATCAGTAAATTGTTACTTTAACAAAGCAAGCAGCAGAACCAGACAACACCAGAACCAGACTGATACCAATAAACAACAGCTTTAATTGTGTGCTTAGACTTCTGCTGCAAAGTAAAAAAAAAAAAATGCTTCTGGAGTACCTATTCAATACGCCTGCTGTCCACATATAACGTGGCTCTGTTGCAGCAGAGACAGGCAGCATTGTGGGCAGCGCAGCCATAAATACACATGCTGTTGACATACAGCATCAGTTCTCATTAGAGCTGGTCATTGGATGTGCAGCGTGCCGGGCGACCAGCCACTCAGCAAAAGTCTGCTGATGAGCCATGACTGGGACAGCTCCCCGCGCTGCTGCTGACCTTCAGTAAACACCTCGCCACTGCACTGCTCGCACAAATAGGAACACGTATGTGCATGCAGACAAGAATAGAAGACACACATACATCAGATGCCTCCGCACACAAACACACACACATATATAATAGGTATGTTTCTGCGCTCTTTCCTCGACCATATGTCAGGTGCTACTACTTAACCGCTGAGCTGTGTGATGGCAGCGGGGTTAATTAGGAGTGAGAGCCATCTAACTGGATCACTTCCCTCCATCACTCGCTTCCCCTCCAGAGACTGAGAGTGATGCCAGTAAGCTAGGATGGATATAGTATTTGCAGAAACTACCTGGTTTTTAAATGGTTTTTGTTGTTGTTTATTGTCGTTTTAGATACAGGAAAACAATAAACAGTAACTCGGACCATGTTCAACTAAAGCTGGATTTATACTTGATGCA